ACTTTTTATATTTTTAAAAAGAAAAAAAAAAAAAAAAAAATCTCTTCTCCTCTGTAAAAATATTTCTTTATTTGATACTTGTCAAAAGCCCCCAGACAGGTTAGAACCTGTCCCTAGGGATGTTAAGAGGCGGGTATTTAACTAATCAAGTAGTTGATAGAATATTTACTATTTGATTAGTCGATAGGCAGCCCAGCTCAGTCTTGGATCACACCAGGTGCAGGGCCAAACCCCGCTGCAGCTCCACAATTTAAAACGCAACAGGAACTGGGGGCAGGCTACAGCTGCTGCATGCGAGGGTCCCAGCAGGAAATGGGACCTCTGCGCACAGGGACTGCTGCCACAGAACAGCCCCTGTATATGGTAGGCCCCAGATGGGGGTTGCTTTGCAGCAGCAACCCTTGTGCGTAGAAGGGTCCCAACTCCCGCTGACTTTGCAGCAGCAGCCTCAACTCCCCCTCCCCTGCTGCCTCAGATAGAGGTAGCAGTGGGGAGAGGGGAGGAGACACAAGCGGCACTGCACAGATGGTGCTGGATGGAACTGGCTTTTAAGCTGGCTCTGCCAAGCGCTGGCTCCTGCTCCTCCCCTCCTCGCTGACTTTGTATCAAAGGCAGCAAGAGGGGCAGGAAATCCGAGTAGTCGACTCAACTACTCCCTTACATCTCTACCTGCTCTAAGTAAAGAGCATTCTTCTCAGGCTTGACTAAGCGGTCTATATCCCTGAACAGGTGCCAAGTTTCAAGCTATTTCCCTCAAAGCTCATTTCTGCAGCTTCACCATGATAAACCAGATGACCACATTTGTAATTGTACAGAATCCCCTCCATGAGAAGGCAGCTGCACTCAGACAGGACGTTTGTAAAAAACCCTCAGTTTTGAGGCCAGCCCAAAGGGTAGTAGTGGCACTAGAAATGCCAGTTTAAGGTGAACCTCCAGAACATTTGATGTTATGGGAATATGAAGACATTCTTTTAAATCTACCAAAGAGATTAAATTTCTCCTAGTCAATCACAGCTAATGCAGACTGGAAAAACCCAATCATGAATTTGAATCTTGAACATTAACCCACTTCAGAGCCAAAATGAATCTTAACTCGACCTCAATACCTTTTGTAGCTACCAATTGCCTAGTAGGGATGTTAAAATGTGATTACTTCCCTAATCGAATAGTTGATAGACTTTCTGTCGACCATTCAATTAGTCGACAACTGAAAGCAGTTACAGCACTCAGTTTGGCTCACGCGCCAAGCCTTAACATAAGCTCCCAAGCTGTGGCTCTGAATTGTAAAACCCAGGGAAGCCAGTGTACAAAGTCGCCAGCTTGGCCCCTGTTCCACGCATGTCTTTTCATTCATCACACCACAAACACACACACTGTGAAGACACCCGCAGAACAGGGGCCGAGCTAGCGACTTCGCACACCGGCTTCCCTGGGCATTACAATGCAGAGCCACTGTGGGGGTGGGAAGAGACTAGTTGATAGTGCTAATCGATAAGCTCTTGCTTAGTCGACTAGATGCTAACATCCCTATTATCTAGATTAAATTTCCATCTTCTACTTTCTGAACATTTGCTCTGATATCCAAGAGATGGTTCACTACCTGTAGGTAAGCTTACTCTTGAGGGGGGGAAAAAAAAACAGGATGGTAGAAAATGGCAACCCCGAAGAGGGTCAGAGCTTAAAATCAACCTGTGACAAAAATCACATCTATACTCTGAAATGATCCCTTCCTCTTATAATATAAAGGAAGAGATCCTTCTTTCCTGAGTCACTGTAAATACAGAAAGGGGACAGATTAACACTGACAGCTCAGGAAGGCCACAAAAAGTAGTTTAGAGTTTGATTTCAGATATGAGTAACTCCTTCCCTTTTAAATCCCAGACCTTGGTATGTATTTAATACATCATTTCCTGGAGCAGCTTCTACCTGATGAGTCCTTACACTTCTTAGCCTGTGAAGCTGGCATTACAAGGCCACTTCAATAGATTACTGCCTAATACTTCATATCCCACTCTTAGAAAAACTCTCTTTGCACAAAGCACTATCATACTCACTGAACTGAGTGGGTATTTCCATGTGTTGCACTACTAGAACTTGTCTCGGGCTGCAATGGAACCCTCACTTTCTGGCAACTGCTGGTCAGCAAAAAATGGTTGATGGTGCCCAAAGTGCTATTGTAGGATGCACAAATGCTAGGTTTTCCTCTTATTGGAAAAAGGCTCCATTTCCATGCTCAATTATGATCAACATGATTATCAGAGGCTGGCTGCAGGTTGCTTTCTAGTTGTTAATTTCGCAAGAGGCAAGAATAAGTCTGGGGAACGAAGAGGAGCTCTTTGAAAGATGCCAAAATTCTTCTGATTAGCCCTGAGTCCTGCCCATCTTTCCAGAGGAAATGAGAAAGCCAGAGACTAATGAATGAGTCGAGTGGTCTTTGGCAAATTAGAAGGTAGGTGCCGATATCTTAATTGGCATTTACATCTTTATAGTTAAGTTTTGGCATAGAATGATTCAAATGGGAACAGATACAATTAGTCTTTCAATCCTAAGGATCCCTCCAAATTGTAATTGAAGGACACAGGTAGGGGGCTGTGGGGAAGTCTGAAATGTCAGATAGGTATACACTTTTTAGTTGTAAATAGGGTTGTCACGCTAGCCCCTTGCACTAGTATTAAATTCACATATTTTAAAATATATATTTTTACCATGTAGTCTGAAGAAGCAATGAACTCCACTGTGGAATTTTGGACTTCTGGCCGCTTATGAGGCTCCCCGTAGGATCGTGTCAAAGGGTTATACATAAATTCCTCAGGAACTAAATGAAAATTAGGAATCCAAAGTAAATTATTCACTGACAGATACACAGACTTAGTGACAATTAACAACATTCAACATAAAGTTAAAGCAGCAATTAGACCATAAACATTTAAAAAGTATGTAGGTAAGAAAACAGTAAAAATGTTGTGAAACCTAAATATCAAAGTTAAGGAACTGAAGACAAGAACATCTATTTTATGGACAAAGTACATCTACTCTGTGCTTCCAGTGCCCTACAATGAGATGTTTCAACATGCACTGTATTTCTGAAACTGGTTTTTGTCTTTGATTGCTGTTAAGTATGACCTTGACTGATTGTGTATTATGCTAGTAGTCAGTGGAGAAAATTGCTTTTAAATTACAGTAAAACTCCATTGGTCCAGCATCCAATGCTCCAGCACTCCTGATGGTCTGGCACCATCAGGAACCCGGAAGTGCTCCGGCTGCTGGACAATTGGAGCTGCTCTGCTCCCGGCTTCCCTGATTCAGCTGCTGCTGAAACTGACCAGCAGCTGAATCGGGAAGCCGGGGGCAGAGGAGCTGGGGGGCTGCTGGGG